ATTTATATTCTATTTAGTGTATATTATTTAAATTTCCCTTTAATATCAGTTCCCTTTTTAGTTTTTTTTTAATTTTAAAAATTATTTAGAAGACAATAATTTGAAAAATATTGTACACCCATTAGCTAAGTATTTTGCATTGATTTATATAATAAGTAACTCTTTTAGTTAATTATTTATTCAAGTTTATTCAATTTACCATTTATTTTCCTGATTGGCGGCTGATACGGCCATGAACATTAGCATCACAACGAATTCCATTTTCATCTTCATATTCGAGCGTATAAAATTAATTCTTGTTGAAAATCGAGTACTGACACCAAAGATATAACTTACACTAAATATGCGGTCTTTTTCTTTTATAAGGAAATCTAAACCGACCCATGACCTTTTCCATACGGTGAATCTTATGGTAGTATGGTACGTATTGCAGAATACAGTCAACTATTTAAAATACGTACATTCTTGTAATGATCAAAGCAAGACCTTTTATTATCGTTCGGTGTTATTTTATTATACATAAATTTTTGTAAACTATTGGGTTATCATCTACTTAATATTTGATTACGTAATTTTTGATGATAACTGTTCACGATAATAGTTTTTCTCTTACTATGCATGTTGATTACTCATATAATACTAACCTGTTATTAATACTTTAAAAAAATTGAATAAACCAAAACTGAGAAACGGCAACATTTTGCAAGTTACTAATTTAAGTAAATAAAGCAGTAATTATCTGAGGTAAGGATGGAAGGCTTCCGAAATAAATTTTAACGTTAGTAATTTTATAGCAGTAAATGATACAGTACTATGCAAAAAAAACGAACACGTTTGAAGGATAAGCTTAAATTACTCGGCGAAGCTGGCTCTTTATCTCAAATATTCTTGATAACATCTGGACAAATAATTTCTCTTTACTCATGCTTAATTTCTACTGAATTGATTGCAATATTATGATTTTGTTCTGTTAAATAAATACTTCTTTATGGCAATAAAATTAATGATAAGGACATGTAAATTACAGAAGCATATTTATTTATTGCAATAAGTTAAATATACGAAAAGTGCAATGACTTTAGTAAGACCATGGTGGTTCTCAAAAATGTTCTTTTTACATTAACCAAAACTGGACAACCTGAAAAGCCACAATATTTACAAGCAAAAAATATAACACCTTTAACATTTTATCAAACAAATTTTCCTTATGTTATGCATATTATTATGTAAGTGTATAAAATAACTTTCTTCTTGAGAACCACACATATAAAACAACTATAAAAGTTTTTACTTGGAAAATTACTAAATCGAATAAAAAAATTACTATAAATACACACTTCCCAGACCCAAACATTTTATTAACAACTAGCATATACAATCTTGCATACAAAACACTTTACAAGTCTGTCATTATGGCCTTGGTTCATTTACATGCCAGTTGCATTATGACAGTGAAGTATCAGGATGATCAGAAATTACACACACGGAACATGTGGACCTTAGTCTTATATATTTTTTTTTCTGTCATAACATTTTAGTACATCAATAATTGTTATTAGAAATATCATTATCCTACCTAGCCTAAGCTATAATATATTTCTACAATAATTTTGCAATGTGACAATGGTTCACTTGAGCCTTTAAACTAGCAAGTTGGCACAAGTAAACCCAGCCGAATTCACCAACCATTCATAACACACCACTTCCTTTATTTATTCGATGATTGGTGATGAAACTGACAAACAGAGTGCGTTTATCAGATAAATCACAATATTTGCCAACTCAACATGAGTCTTTTAGTCCCCATTCCAGAACTCATCAAAATTACCTGCAGGTTTACACAGAACAACTAAATAAAAACAGTGCATGTTAAACTTCATTTCAAATGTGAACTTGCAATAAATTCTGCACAAGTTCAGGAATAAGAAATTTGATTCACTGTGCAGGGTATTTTTGCACTGATGCATACATAAGAGATGGATTAGGTTGTTGCCCCTGTTGGGGCATGACACAGTACTGTTGACTACCTGTTGGATATTGATACTGGTAAGGGTAGTAACCCTGTGCGTATCCTTGATACCAATAGCCCATACCTTGGCCATAACCATATGGGTATTGCTGTGCTGCTTGAGCAGGGTTTGCCATACCTGGGGTCATAACAGCAGATGGATCCATACCTACACCACCATTTTCTTTTCCCCAGAAACATTTAACTGTTTGTCCATTGATATCAGAATTATGAATGCTTTCTATTGCATGAGCAGCTGCCTCTTTTGTGGTAAATCTAATAAAGGCATATCCTTTGTCTTTGAAGACTCTTATGTCCTGTATCATACCGAAAGGAGAGAATGTTTTATGCATTAAATCTTCAGTAAGGCCGCTGGTGAAGCCTCCACAGTATACTGTGCAATTTGTAGGAGAGCTTTGATTATAGACTTCTTCAAAAGTTGGCTGTTTACCCTTAGGGGCTTTTTCCGATTTGGGTGGTGGTGGCTTCCTTGTGGACCAGTTTGTACGAATCGAACGAGAACCCAACCATTGGCCATTCATTGCTTGAATAGCATTTTCTGCATCGGTTTTTTTAACGAACGACACAAAAGCATAACCTTTTGATTTTAACGTTTGAGGATCACGTACAATACGACAATTAGATATTTCCCCGAATGGGGCGAAGGCCTCTCTTAATGTTTCAGTTTCGATTTCGGGGGATAAATCGCCTACAAAGATGTGGTGATGATTGGAAGTGTCCGTTTTTGGTTGATTTCCGGGACTAGTAGCCCAATTAACTTTCATTTCTTTATCTAAAAACACTCGCTTATTCATTGCGGCTAATGCAGTAGATGCCGATTGATGATTTGTAAACTCAACGAAAGCATATGGATCGTTGCCGGGTTCGCGTATTATTTTTACGCCCTTTACGGGACCTATTTGCGAGAAAAGTGTGCATAGCAGGTCCTCCGAAACTGAAATGTCCAAATTTCCTACGTATAAAGNCGTCGCCCACGCTTAACGCCGCCTCTGCTAAAATATATACAGGAAACACAGAAATAGGAATAAAATATATAGAAAGAAAAAATATGTACAAGAAGCAAGTGCACAAATAAAATACACAAAACAAGAATTAGGTCGGCTACTTTACTCAAGACTCCCTCTTCGAAGTGGAGTAAGGTGTGTAGGATCTCCTTCTTCTTTACTGCGGGTGGGTGGAATGTCAGAGGAGTAGGGTGTGTAGGATCTCTCTCTTCCTTGCAGCGGGTGAGTGGAACGTCAGAGATGCTGACACTGAAAAAACTTTTTTAAAACATTTGGGTGTTTCATTCCCACCAGCCACTAATGCTGGTGGGCGGGTAGTCCCTCCGGACTTCGCCAGAAGGTAAGGCGGAAGGCCCTCTTCAGCCTCCTTTCAGGAATCGTGGGAATGGGTGGGTGGTGGTTCGGGTGAGAAAGGTGAGACGGACGAAATGAAGACAGAAGAGAATGAAAGAATATCTGTAGAATATTACTGCCCCAGAATTTGCCTAAGTAATTCAAGGAAACCACAGAAAAACTTGGACCAAGACAGACACACCTGAAATTGAACCGGCATCCTCCCGAATGCTAAGCAATAGTCTAGACCTCTAGGCCATGCCGTTCGGACTGACACGGAAGAAAGCATCGGTTATATATACAAACCCCAGTAGTAAGCAAGGGTTGGAAAAAAGAGAGGTTGGGAGTGGGGTAGGTAGAGAAGGGCGAAAGTAACGATAAAAACGAAATTGTCTAAAAGGTTACTTTCGCGGCGGAAAACTAAAAAGCAGCACGAAAACGTGCATGAAAAACTGAAGTTAGAAAAAGAACGGTGATTATAGGATAAAAAAATAGTAAAATAAAAAACAGAACATTTAGAAAAGGAAGAAAAAATATATAACAAAAGATATTATTTTTAACTAATACAGCTTCCACCTATTAGAATAAAAAATAAACACACATGCTGTCCCTCGCTAGTTTAGACACTATAGCCAATCTCTATTATGTATATCTGATATCTATGGTCTGGCGGCCATACTGGCTGCTTATTTATGCTTGGCGGTAATTTTAGTCCATAACCTCAACAATACCCCGTTAAGGGAATAAATACTTCTCCTTATTTTTTTGTAAATATTTAGTGTTTGCTGTATATTTTTTCTTGCATTTTAATTATGGAAGGTTTCGACGATGCCGGAATCTTCTTTAGTGACAATCTTGCTGGAGATACACAAGACACAAATCAAGTGAACCTGAAAGTTATCAAAAAGAAGTTTAAAGAATTTATGAGACAGTTCCATGGGGAAAACTTCAACTACAAATACAGGTTATTAATTCTTTTTGTTCTTTGTATCATTACTCAAAATATGTTATTTTAGAGATACTCTGAAGAGGAACTACAATTTAAAACAGTATTACCTAGAGGTGAACATTGAAGACCTTGCTAGTTATGATGAAGTTTTGGCAGAAAAGCTTTACAAGCAACCAACGGAACATCTTCCAGTGTTTGAGTCGGCTGCTAAAGAGGTTGCTGATGAATTAACAGCCCCTAGACCTGAAGAAGAGAAAAATGTTGAAGATATTCAAATTATACTTTTATCAGACTCTCGGCCATCTAGTTTGCGTGAATTAAGAGTATGTTAATGTAACACTTAATATCCTTCTTTCTCTATCAAATTGTGTTGTAGTCTAATTGTGTTTCACGTTTAATTAAAATACCTGGCATAATTGTAAGTGCATCTGGAATTAAAGCCAAGGCAACTAAAATAACCATACAGTGTAGAGATTGTCACCATATGATTCCCAATTTGCCTGTAAAGCCTGGTTTTGAAGGTTACATCATGCCCAGAAAATGTAGCACGTGAGTGAAGCAATTTTTTTTTAATTCAGTGTCAAATTAATTTAAATTAAACAGGGAACAAGCTGGACCTAATAAATGCTCTTTGGATCCCTACTTTATAATTCCGGATAAGTGTCAATGTGTAGATTTTCAAGTTTTGAAACTTCAAGAGCTTCCTGATGGTGTACCACAGGGAGAGATTCCAAGGCACCTGAACCTTTACTGTGACAGATATTTGTGTGAGAGGGTTGTTCCTGGAAATCGAGTGTTTATTTTTGGTATTTACTCTATTAAGAAGGTGTCCATTGGTTCAAAGGTAAGTTAAAGCACAATTTATAACATTTTCAATGCATGTTGTTGCAATAATCAATTGTTCTTTAAGAGAGATGGACAAAAGGCACTAACAGGAGTTAGATTTCCTTACATGAGAGTTATTGGTATACAACATGATACTGAAGGTTTGGGATCATCTGGTGTGGGGGCTGTTACTACAGAGGAAGAAGATTTGTTTAAAAGATTGGCAGCATCTCCCAATATATACGAAAAAATTGCCACTAGCATTGCACCATCTATTTATGGGGCTGTGGATATTAAAAAAGCAATTGCTTGTCTGCTATTTGGGGGTATGTTGAAGTAGACAATTCGTTTTTGTTGCTTATTTGATGCATTTTTAAGGCTCCAGGAAAAGACTTCCTGATGGTCTGACTCGCAGAGGAGATATAAACATTTTACTTCTCGGTGATCCTGGTACCGCAAAATCGCAACTGTTGAAGTTTGTAGAGCGTGTGGCTCCAATCGGAGTTTATACTTCAGGAAAAGGGAGCTCAGCTGCTGGTCTAACAGCATCTGTCAACAGAAATCCTGCTACTGTATGTGAATAACCTTAATATACCTTTTTGTATATTAATTATCATTTTCACAATTTCCACACTTTTTGAATTTCTAAATTTTGTAGCGAAATTTTATTATGGAAGGCGGTGCAATGGTTCTTGCAGATGGCGGAGTTGTTTGCATTGATGAATTCGACAAAATGAGGGAAGATGACAGGGTGGCAATACATGAAGCCATGGAGCAGCAAACCATCTCAATTGCTAAAGCAGGAATCACAACTACTTTAAATTCTAGGTGCTCTGTTCTTGCTGCTGCTAACAGTATCTTTGGTAGATGGGACGAAACGAAAGTACGATAAAATGTGAACCAGTCCCTATTTGATTCTACCTTTTCTATTTATTTATCATAGGGAGAGGAAAATATTGACTTTATGCCAACCATTCTTTCCCGTTTCGACATGATATTTATAGTCAAAGACGAGCATGATCAACGAAGGGACATGACGTTAGCCAGGCATATAATTAATGTTCACATGAGTGCAGAACAGGTCACTGAAGAACCTAAAGAGGGAGAACTGTCCATAGAATTACTAAAAAAATATATTAATTATTGCAGAACGTGAGTTAATGCATTAAATATCTTTTAACATACACAGCTTTATAAATGAATTCTTATGTATTCATGTAATTTATTTTTTGCATATTTTAATTTTTTTTTTTTGTTAGAAAATGTGGTCCTCGTTTAAGCCAAGAAGCTGGCGATAAGTTGAAGAGACGTTATGTAATGATGAGATCAGGAGCGAGTCAACATGAGCACGAAATACATAAGAAAAACGCAATTCCAATAACAGTGAGACAACTGGAGGCTGTAATAAGAATTTCTGAAAGTCTGGCCAAGATGCAGCTACTCCCTTTTGCCACTGATTCGCACGTCAACGAAGCCCTACGTCTGTTTCAAGTTTCGACATTAGACGCAGCAATGAGTGGAAATCTAGACGGTAATTTCTGCCTATAATTGTAATTACTTACAAGCTAAATGTTGATATTCCTTTTATGTTTATTTCCTTTTTATTTTTAATTGACTTACGTTTACGTACATATTAAAACAAAAATTTAATAGGTGCTGAAGGATTCACGACTGACGAAGAATATGAAACATTAAGCCGAATTGAGAAGCAACTAAAGAGACGTTTCGCTATAGGGACGCAGGTTTCACAACAAAATATCGTACAAGACTTTGTGAACCAACAGTATCCTGAGAGGGCTATTATGAAAGTCATATATGCCATGATTCGAAGGGGGCAACTGCAACATCGAATGCAGAGGAGAATGCTGTATCGTATTAGTTAATTTATTTCTTTTTCTTTTTTCCTATCCTTACTTCGCATTTTTTTTTTATTTCGAAATCGTAGTTTTTGTTTGCATGTTTTAAACGTTTCTATGTTTTTTTTTTATTTCATTTAATGGTACTTTAAATAGTAAGATACATAATACCAGAATTAATTGAATAGCAACATAAGAGCATTTGATAACATTTATTAACAAAATCTTATTCATTAAGAAAATAACTCTATTCCACATTACCACGATTCCTTATCATCAATATTTTTTTTAAGTAGATGTTTTTTTTGTAATGAATAATAAACATTTTTTTTAATCTAATGTTTTTGCTACTTCAATTCCTTCACATCATTTTTAATACAAATGAATCTAACAGAGAAGTAATTATATGTGATAATTAGTTTCGGTTAAAATGAGAATAGAATACTTTTCTATCTCCCGAATATTTTTTAGTGCAATTTAGCAAGTGGACTAAAAATGCTACAAATAGTGGAACAAGTACAAAAGGCAGCAGATGTGTACTAATGAGATTAAAAAAGTATCAGGTCAGTCTATTTAATTAATTGAATCTACTCTTACTTGAGACTCAAGAAATTGAAAACAAAAAACTCGTAATTTCCACAAACTTATTTTCAAACTGTTTCACTACTTTGTGGCTTCTTCAAAAGTTAGAAATTAACTTAACTAAAGAAGTCTCACAATGGTGGAAATAACAGGTTTCTTATTTTTGATTAATTGGTATTTCGATCATATAATCATTTAATAATATAAACGCAAAAAATGAAATATGTTACGTTTAATTTTTCATAAGGCAAGCGAACGGTTTTTTTTCCCAAAATATGTATAATAGCTTTACATTAAATTTTAATGTTAATTATGAAACAGAAGGCATATTTATATGAATGAAAAACCAAACATTATTTATTGCCCCGTCACATTAAATTAACGCTTTTAAGGTGAAATCAGTGTAAGAACCACCATAAAAGGGGGAAAATTAATTTTGTAAGGTAATAAATAGTGTTTATTCTAAAAAAACAAACCATAGTTTTGGTAAATATTGGATCCTCCTTTACGTAGAATGAAATCATGTCCCTTATTCTTCCTTAAAGTTAAAAGGATATTCGGGATGTTTTGTAATTCCTTTGAAAAATCTAAAATCAAAAATCCGTCCGTCTTCGCCCCTGTCCAACGCATTCAATCGTTCCAAGTCCTCGGGAGACAATTCAAAATTGAACACATCAATGTTCTGTTTAATTCTTTCTGGATTGCTACTTTTTGGAATGATAATAACATTCTGTTGTACTAAATGTCTGAGTAAAATTTGACCTGTCGTTTTATTGTACTTTTCGGCCAATTCTTTAACCACGGGATGACCCAAAATGTCCGGAAAGTCCGTTTTACTTAAAAACAAAAAGAAATTACAAATTTAAATATTTTTTCATTTCATTTACGTACAAATAAATTAAGTAGGAACTGGAGCTAAATAAAAATAAGTAAGCGATGACTTTTTTATCTCCATTTAATTAACTTACTTGTAATTGTATTTTTCGATAAAATGTGATTTAGCGTGCGGACTTCCCAGAGGAGCATAGGCAGTGATAGCAATGTTAAGTTCCTTGCAAGTAGCTCTCAAATCTTTTTGTTGAAGATAGGCGTGCAATTCTACTTGTAGAACTGACGGTTTTATTTCAGAGTTTTCGTAAAGTTTCTTAACTTGCATCGCGTTGAAATTTGAAACTCCAAGAGCACGAATTTTTCCATCCTTTAAGGATTTTTCCATCGCCTGTTAATACAAAATTATTCCTTTATAATTGTATTCTAATTTTAATAAAAAAAAAATAGTTTTACCTTCCACGTTTCTACGTTATTTGCTTCTAGATCAAGAACGAAAGAACCATCTTCGTTAGTCTTTGGACTTAGACCGGTGTCGTCTGGAATTAAGGAAAAGGGCATGTGTATTAAGTACAGGTCCACATAGTCAGTCTGCAAGTTTTTCAAGGACCAATTTAAATATTTCTCCACATCTCCCGCCCTATTACCGAACACTGGTAACTGAAAAGAGAAATATAAATAAAAACGGTTAGTGACCAAATTTTATCGCACCTTTTCCTTTTGAATGAAAAGAACATTTTTAAGAAAACCCCGTGGTACAGCACAAAACAAACAATTTTAAGATACTTGTACTGATTTCATAGATATTTTGAATCATTATTTTGTTTAATTCGGAAATCTTCCCTCAAATGTAATTAGTTATCGCAGAATCAAAATCGGTGTTTTTTACAAACCTTTGTGGTAATAAACACGTTCTCCCTCTTTCCTTTGCCAGAACTTATCCACTTTTTTAAGACGGATCCAATTGCTTCCTCATTATTGTAATTGAAGGCAGTATCTTAAAAATATTTTGATATTAACGTATTTAAAAAACTACTCGCCACTTATAATAACTACCTATTTGTCTGTAACCGGCATCTAGTGCGGTAGTAAGGGCTTTGTCAATTTCTTCGTTGGTAGCTTTCCACGTACCGAGCCCCACTAGGGGCATCTGGACGTCGCCCGGCGCCGACAGTTTGACGTAGGGCATCGTTCTGGTTAAATTGTTAGCTGACAAAGCCTTTACGAAAATCTGCTGTGCCAATAATGTGTTCGTAGCACTTAAAACATAACTATTAATAGAAAAAAGCAAGGATGCAGAAGTGGACGACT